TTTTTTTTTTTTTTTTTTTTTTTTTTTTTTTTTTTTTTTTTTTTTTACTCTTTTGATAATGTATGATCAGCTGAAAGAGCCGAATGCGGCTTCATTTAGTACCTGGGGAATCAGAACGAAATAAAGAAATGGTGATCGATTTGAAAAATGGGGAAATTATGTTTAGGATTGATAGTTTTGAGGGGTATATCGTAATTGTTTGCTCGGTATTGTGCTCGATTTAGTGAACTCTGTTTCTGGTACAGTATAGATATAATTTAATGAGATGCCATGTATCAAATGTTCGGGATCTGAGGACTTTCTGTTTCTCAATGAAGGAAAATTGTGTTAATCATTATGCAATAGCTTTGAAGCAAGACGTCATGATATACATATCATAACTTTTGTTGAAAGGAGTTGAAATAGAATGCTAAAACTTTTGAATGCTTGCTAGTGTGATTGTCCCCACACGTTGGAACAGCATGTGGTTCTTATTTGACTTGTTCATATGTTCGTCTGCACCAATATTTTTATACGTAAATTGAACATCTTTGTTTATATATTGTGCTAAATAGACAGCAAATATTTTATATAGTTCTGTGTGTGCTCATGGTAGAATTTTGCTTGATGCAGCTCTCTGCCAATCAAATCCTGAGAAAGGACCGGTGAGATCACCTTCTGTGATTGTCATTGGTGGTGGCATTGCTGGAGTAGCTGCTGCTCGTGCTCTTCATGATGCCTCCTTTCAAGTATGTGCTATAAAGAACGAAAGAAAATTATTTGTTAGCCCCATAGGAAACCAATTTATTGAAAGGTTTTAGAAATCTGGAGAAATTAGATTACTTGCATGCATTTTGGTGTTTATAATTTTTTAATTTCCGTTGATCAGGTTATCTTGTTAGAAGCACGGGATAGACTTGGTGGTCGCATATATACTAATTATTCATTTGGGTTTCCTGTTGACCTTGGTGCTTCATGGTAGGCTTGTTATCTTCATGTTCTTTTCCCTGAGAAAGTAACATTAATCGCCCACATTTATGTTCTAATATCACTTACTGTTCATTTTCAGGTTACATGGGGTATGCAAACAAAATCCGCTGGCCCCCTTAATTGGAAAATTAGGATTACCCCTCTACCGAACCAGTGAGGAAAACTCTGTATTATATGACCATGACTTAGAAAGGTAAATATTCTATTTATGAAATGTTTATTCATGAATTTAATTTGACGGGTCTTGTTTTTTAAACCGGGCTCTTCTCGGATTTTGGAGTGTATCCGTTTCATTGTTGGAGTTGTTTATTGTTGTTGTTGTTGTTATGGGTGGATAGTTATAAATCTAATTTGTTTTTCAGTTATGCACTCTTTGATATGGAAGGGAAACAAGTTCCTCAAGAGCTAGTGACAAAAGTTGGAAAAGTATTTGAGGCCGTCTTAGAAGAGGTAGGTTATCTTTAGAAATCTGAAGTTCCTGATTTACTTAATTTTATTAAACTGTATTCTTTTTCCCTTTTGGTTGTGCATCAACTTCTCTGAGTTGGTTTCCTACGCTTTATACAGGCTGATAAAATAAGAGATGAATATACTGAGGACATGACTGTAAAGCGTGCATTCTCAATTGTTTTTGAAAGAAGACCAGAATTGAAGTATGTTTTTTCCTGATGTGGTTATTTTAGCTTGTCTTTATTCTTCTTTCACCTTTAACTTAATTGATAAACATTCTTAAACACAGGATGGATGGGCTTGCCCACAAGGTTCTTCAGTGGTATCTCTGTAGGATGGAAGGATGGTTTGCTGCAGATGCCAATACTATCTCACTAAAATGTTGGGATCTGGTATTTAATGATTAGAATCTTTATAATAATGTCTAGTTCTTTCTATATCTTCACATGTTGGCGGATCATATAGTGCACACTGTATAGCAATAAATATTTGCTTTTGATATCTATGGTCATTAACATATGGAAGCTGAAAATTTACTTTGTGACATTTGCTAGTCTTACATGTTCAAATGATACTGGCTATAGTAGTATAGTTGCAATGTCAGTTTATCTCTAGTTTCTATATACAATCAAACAATTAATATTGGCTAGGTGCCCGTTGTGTTCTTTCATTTTTTTTCTTAATGGGAGCTCGATTTTTGTCAAAAGAAAAAGAAAACATTACTTGGGAATGTCTTATTGACCACTAGGAAATAAATTTACTTTGCTTGGTTTAGAGTTAGGCAGTTGAGACGCCATAAAATGGTATACTAGGTCGACAATGACAGGTTCTGTTCTAGTACATGGCAGCTTTATTAGCCTTTGACTACTTGCACACACACCATAAAATGGTATGCTAGGTCGACCATGACAGGTTCTGTTTAGTTCATGTGAGCTTTATTGGCCGTTGACTACTTGCTCTTCTGGCATAATCATTATGCTTTTTTGCCCATGGTTTGTGGTTGTGGGTATCAAACTGGGACAGAGAATACCTGATTTAGTCTGGAAACAGATCGTAGGAGAGAGGGAAAATCTCTGAATTACGGATAAAAGCTGCTTCATGAATTTCACTTTGGTTCTGTTTCTATTTGTGCCGCAATAGTCTATCAGGGGCTTATCAACTAGGGGACTTGATGTTTACTTGTGGACAATTTACTAATTTTACACTCATTTTAATGTCTTAAAATTTAGATGGATGATATATATCTTACACAAATTCACATGCTTCCACCAAGTACTATTATTAGTGACATGTTGGGAGTAAAATGGCCAAGAAGCCCAAACTTATGAGGAATGCTAGAGGATAATCTAAATGATAAAATCAATTTCAAGAACAAGTTTAATACTCTTGAGAACGTTTATTCTTTTCATGCTCTATTTTCTTCTATCCTTTTCTTGGTTTTTTTAAAGTATCATTCTGATTATTCCAGGAAGAGCTGCTGCCTGGAGGTCATGGGCTAATGGTAAGGGGATACCTTCCTGTTATCAACACTCTTGCAAAGGGTCTTGACATCCGTTTGGGTCATAGGTAAAGCTTGTTCTCTACTTTTTTGTATTCCTTTTAATTCATGTTTCAACGCAGACTTCAGCTTATGATTTGGAATCTTCCTTGGTTCTCAGGGTTACAAAAGTTGTTAGACGATATAATGAAATTAAGGTCACGGTCGAAGACGGGACAACATTTGTTGCTGATGCTGCAATAGTTTCTGTCCCTCTCGGGGTGCTTAAAGCTAATACCATAAAGTTCGAGCCGAAACTCCCAGATTGGAAGGAATCCGCCATATCTGACCTTGGAGTAGGGGTGGAGAACAAAATAATACTGCAATTTGAACAAGTTTTTTGGCCGAATGTGGAGTTTCTAGGAGTAGTGGCAGAAACAACATATGAATGCAGCTACTTTCTCAATCTTCACAAAGCCACTGGGCATTCTATTCTCGTTTACATGCCTGCCGGGCAGCTGGCTGAAGACATAGAGAAATTGTCCGATGAAGCTGCTGCTAATTTTGCTTTCACACAACTCAAAAAAATTCTTCCGGATGCTTCTGAACCGGTAAGATTTCTTCTTTCAAATATTTCATTTGCAAATGGACATAGAATTATGCACACAAATGAAGTGATTAGAATTAAAAACTCATCAATATTTTAAAATTTGCAGATCAATTTCCTTGTTTCCCGATGGGGAACAGATATTGACACACTTGGATCATACAGTTATGACATAGTTGACAAGCCCAGTGATCTGTATGAGAAGTTGAGAATCCCCATCGATAACATATTCTTTGCAGGGGAGGCAACTAGCACAAGCTTCCCAGGGTCAGTGCACGGTGCGTTTGCTACGGGTGTAATGGCTGCGGAGGACTGCAGAATGCGCGTCCTCGAGCGCTATGGGGAGCTAAATATATTCCAGCCAGTCCTAGCTGTGGAGCCGGTATCAGTACCTCTACTGATCTCTCGCCTGTAAGTTGAAGGGTTCCTTCAATATGTTTGTTCGGTATTGATGGGTTTGGCTAGTCAAGTGGTATAGAAAACATCACTGTTTTTGCATATCAGTATTTCAGTCAAATGTTCTTATAGATTTCTTACAAGTTGCACCTGGATTTTGGTAGTAGTGATTAGGAATTATGCTTTAGTATAGACTTTTCTCCTTGATGTCATAAAACATATCCAACTGTCTTTAGTCTCTGTTTTTGTCTTTATGGACATTTACATTTTTTCTCCTATAGTTCGTGATGTAATCGATAATGATTATTATTTATCATGCAATGTTAACGTCAGTTTATGCGCGTCTTGTTGATTCTAAAGTTTGTCTTTAATCGCTGTGGACATATACCTCTTCTCTTCTCTCCCCTATAGTTTGTGACAATATAGGTGGGATATCGAGATTTGCACCTCGTCAATGATATCATTACTATTTGTCAGTGTCTAGACTGCGCATCTCATATCTTCTCATGGGATAACTGTTCTATTCTATTTAGTTGTCATGATATTTTAGGAAAGTGGTAACAATAGCTTGAATCATTCTCGGGCATAGATCTTATTGACCTCCAGGGCCACCTAATTAATTGCATGGTAACCGATTACTAATGAAATATCTAATGGGAACAATGAGAAGAATCTGTTCACCAACATATAACGTGAAATATCCTTGTAATGTTCCTCTAACATGTGAGTGAAATTTGAACCAAAGATCTAGATTCCTGATTGTTGGGCAAGTTGTGTATGGTCCTTTTTATAATGTGATGTCAATGTGAGCATAAGGCTGCCATGCCTACCAGGGGGCTGTCACTATAATTGCTTGCCAAGTTGGCTGTTGTTGGTATATGGCTGCTTGGAGTAAAAGCATCGTTGGCCCTATTTGCTGTGGAAAGCTTCGGATTCTGTTAAATGTATGATTTGAGGAAAAGTATATGATTCTTTTTAGTACAAAAGTAAGTGCTCTTTTCATCTAAATTATTGCTGGCCAATGGCCTTCGATTTGAATGCCAAAATGTCCAAAAAAAATGGTGATATGATATTTGGATCTCATTTTGTTGAATTGATCTTTAACTAACTTTTTGCTTTAAAAATAATATTAAGGATCAAATGGTATACAAACAAACAATCCTAATTTAATGCAAGTGGAATATAAGAGAATTATAAAATATTAAAAAAACATGAACTAATTTTAGTTTTTTTTTTCTATAAAAATAAGCTTTAGATGTTTAGAAATACCATAGTATATAAACAGAAATATTATATTTAGGTTAAAAATTGAATACTTTCAGCTGATGTAACTCAATCGAAGATATTTTTGTAAAATAGGTCTAGAAAATGGCATAGAAATAATTACTTGAAGAGGTAAAACAATGTCTTATTGAGAATGAGTTGAATTATTGATTGTGATATTGAAACGTTTATATTTATGCCCCGTCAGTATCTTAGTGAAAGAGGTGTTTTTAGAGGATCTTTTATTTTGTGTCCAATCCCGAAGTTAGTTCAGTATGTTCTTGTGCATTCTTCTAGGGAGAAGACACTCACTCTATATTTTGGTTTTGGATCCCAACTTCTTCTAGGGCTTCTCTTGTAGTTCTTCGGTTTGTTGTTAGTATCTTCTCCCCTCAACTTTGTCTACTTTCTTTTCTCACTAGAAATTACAGTCGTTCGCTATTCCATCCAAAGAATCTTCGTAAACATCTTTAAGGATGTATAGGTTTTACATGTTTTGTAACAACCCAAGCCCACTGGGAGATCATAGAACTCATCAGGGCAGACACAATCTACCCCTTCAGAGCTCAGCATCTTTTGCTGATACACTGCCTCATGTCCACTCTTCTATAGGGCTCGGCCTCCTCCCTAGCACATCACTCGATATCTAGCTCTGATACTATTTGTAACAGCCCAAAGAAAGAGTAAACGCTTTGAATCATGTTCATAGTGTCGTTGTTCCTGCGGAGATGCATTCTTTGTATATTTGTATCACTTGTTGTAGGGTTGTTAATTTGTTGAGGCTCTCGGGTAGAGCTTGTTTGGTTTATGTTGGGTGTGGCACTGTGATTTCTATGCTTGAAGAAACTAAATCTACAAATATGTCATCCTTCCCTATTTTACAAATTTGAATTCTTCTAACATCAGCTCCCGGGCATAATGCTACCAAACATGGATAGTTTTGTTCTTCAAGACTATAGCTTTTCACATTCATCCAGCACCAATAAATTATTGTCATCAGATCAAAATAAGATAGCACTGGCAAACTAAAAGTAGATGCAAGGTTAAGAGGAATATTGAGTAATTTCGAGTCGTTTTGGATTGAAAGAAAGTAAATAGATTACATCACAACAAATAAACATTAGTGTATATTGCTCAGTTACAAGAATAAATGTACATTGCTGAGCAAGAATGGTAAAAACAAACAAACAATCAGTGTTGAAAATATCCACCCACCCATCTCTCTACATGAATTCATCCTTCCTAACTTCACATTTATATAGTTTTGGAACAGAGTTTTTATGTTCCTAAATTTATAGATTGAGTTTGTCCGGTTACGACTTACAGCATAGTTCTTCACATTTCGCCAGATTCCTTCGTTTCGGTCTCTAAGAAAGTGAAATATATGCGATCTTCAATTCATTTTGGAGCTAGTTTGAAGTCGATCATCCTGTACCAAAGAAAAATGAAATTTTGCTTTATGATATGGAGAAAGGAAGTTGTCAAAAACTTGGCAGATGTAAAATGAATTATTAGACAACCTTGGATTAAATTAATGACTGGCTATAGAATACTGCTGAAGCTTTCGATGGGATCTGATTCTTCAAGCATGGCGGCTGCCTGGAAGCAGTCTACAGCATCAGCCATTCGTCCTTCGTCCCTATGGATCACCCCCAAGTACAACCAAGCCTTACCGTTGGTCGGATCTAATCTCAATGCGTCGGAAAGTAAGCCTCTTGCTATAGGCAACGCATCCGGGCCTGCTTTCGACCAAATAGCACCAATCAAAACCTTGCAAGGAACGTAAGTTGGTTCAAGTAGAAGAGCGTTAATGTATGCAGCTAGGGCTTCCTGTATTTTCTCACATCCTTGGTGCATTAGACCTGATGAAACAACAAATGATGAACAATTTAGCTGCGAGATAGGACATCGATGCATACGATACACTACATCAAATACCAATAATTTGTGGCGTAAATAAGAAAAATTTGAAGACTCTAATCACGGACATAAATACTAGCATCCTAATCTTGTAGCCATTATGCAAATCATTCTTCCCAGGCTTTTGTTTTTTCTGTCACTGCTATTTTTATATGATGAGTTCTTTTGTCATCTTGAAATCCTTAACAATGGTGAAGACAGGAATAACAAGGGATTTAGCAACAATGAAGACAGGAATAACAAAGGATTTAGCAACAAGTTAATTATTATAGTGTCATTCTGAATCAGCAAATTGACGAATTCTCTACTTCCGTCTTATTGATTGCCATCTAAATCTACCAAGGGTTATATTTAAGTAACATACTGATTGACATTGAACAACATTATGCATACATGCAAATCTTGTATGAGAGGGAGGGGGGTACGCCAAATTCATAAAAATTAAATGTTGCCAAACAAAAGATCTCAATCCAAAATAAAAACTTCCGAGCAAGTATTATGAGGAACATGCACAACGCTAAGACTCGTATTACTTTGAAGTGGTGAAGAAGACAAGGACAAGCCAATTCGGCTGAGCAACCAAAAAGTTTGGATTTTGTCGATAGAGTTATTAAGATTTCATAAGACTATCTAAATGGGAGATCATAGAACTCATCAGGGCAGACACACACTAGATGAAAAGTTCCTACTTCTCGCACTAATATGGTCCGTCCTGTTGTAGGAGATAAACGGCAGCCGTGGCAGTCTCCGACAAAGTCTAAACTATGAAGTTCAGCACAGGTTGGCAACATGAAGTTAGACCAAGTTTTGAAAAGAACCAAGTTCAGCAACTACTTCAGAGAATTTATAGTAATTAACAATTTTCCAGATCCAGACAGAATGTTAATGGATAAACTTGAAGGACAAAGATAGACAGTGAAAGTCAATTCATGAAAGAGATCCTTTGCTTATGAATTTTCATTTTTCTATAACAATTGAAGTATTAGCTAATCTTTCAGAAGCAGGCAAGCAGTATAAGAGTGTCAAGGTGCACGATAATGATTTTGAACGGCTTAGAAGATAACAAATGACAATATTAATTCATAAAAATAAAAATAAAAATAAAAAAAAGTATTCAGATCTTGCCTTCAGTGTGTAGTAATTCTGGGGAGAACTCTTTCAGCTCTTTTGCTTTTCCTAGACATATCTCTGCATCTTTCCAATGTGAAAGGCTGGAGTATAAATTGGCTAGACCATTCCAAACTTCAAATTCATTCAATTTATCATCTTCAACCTATAATTGAGGCAGAAAGTGAATCATACATGTATACAAAATATATTTTGTCCGTAAGTTACATTCTATTTAGACGGCCGAGATCAAAGAAAGAGATACTCAAATATACAATTTGGTGAAAAGGAGTTCCATTGACAACTTTAATGTTGTAGACTCCTTGTTATTCTAGGATACAACTTCAACAGAATAACTTGTGCATACCAGAAGTTTATAAGCTAGTAACTCACATATTCTACAGGTAAAACCAGCGACAATTGACTGAAGTTTTCTTTTATAGAGTTAAAACGCATTTGAACTACTTATTTTCTTCTGCTAGAAAAAAGGTAGGAATTATATTTAAAATAGAAGCTAATTTTCCAAATATAAAGCAAATTCTAACCTGAGGGACGATTCTGAGCGGTCCAAAGGATTTCTTTTGTGCTTGAACTAATGCAAGGAGATAACGGTATGTTTCAATAGCATCCATATGTAATGATTGAGAGATTTTCAGCTTTGCCTTGAGTCTGAGAAGTGGTCCTCGTTCCCATTTTGTGGTCTCATCCATTGCAGCGTCAGTGACCACTTCAGCCTCTGGAAATCTCTTTTGGGCAGACAAAACAAGAGCGAGCAACTGCCAGCCTTTTAAGACAGAGCCACCGGTTTCATCAATGAACTTCTTTGCATATTGCAATGCAGCATTCAAATTCCGATATTCCGAATACTGTACTCCTAACTCAAGCATCAAATCTAAGTTATTTCTCTCCAGACCATTTGCAGCCTCAAGAGATTTCAATGCCTCTGACTGAAGACGGGACCTCTCGAAGTCAGAGGAAGAAATTTTGGCTTGTTTTCCCAAGCAAAGACCTAACATGCGAAGACCCACACCCTTTAAATGCTCTTCATCTCC